GTCCTGAGCAACAAGCCCAGCACTTTCTTCAACAGCCACAAGGTGGCCAGAGTGAGCCCCAGCAGGAACAAGAGGACATCCAGCAGGTACTGGACATGCCATGGCTGCTGAAAGCCATGGGGCTTTAGATGTGTTCCTCCCCCTGTTTGTAGGATGTGGTCAATCCAGCCCACCAGACGCTGGGACGGTGTGAGGGGGTGGGAGCGCCTGATGGCCCTGGCAGTCATTGCTGCAGTCTTGTACCTATGGACAGACACAGAGAGATTGTGTTACCAATGTGCTGTGCACATTTGAGACTTTATACATACATAAATGTATCGATACACACTTAAGTGCATACACGTCATGGGAGACAGAGCATTTGGATGGGGTTTGTAAGCAGCATGCTACGGCTTGCTTGATGGCAATGTGGACTGGCTATGTGCCTGAAAGTGGGGCGTGTGCATGGCTTTCAGAGGCACTAGCGGCTCTGCCATGCTGGACTGGGCAGGCAAGCATAAAGTACCATATATACCAAAGTAATGGTGCAACTTAAGTTTTAGGAAGTGCTTAGCATTTTAAAAAGTGCTCCTGGAAAGTAAAGAATTATAGATATGCAATAAAAACAATACACAAGCTTCTTCTTCTTCTGGAAAACACCAATGGCGGATGACGCCTGTGCAGCAGGAGGGCCCGGAGGACCCAGGGGCCCAGGATTAGGAGGCCGTGGCGGCTTCCGCGGAGAATTCGGTAGCAGTCTGAGGGGCCAAGGCCGTGGGCGAGGCCGTGGCCGTGGCCGAGGCCGCGGGGCTCACGGAGGTAAAACTGAAAACAAGCAGTGGATTCCCATCACCAAGCTGGACCGCCTGGCTAAGGACATGAAAATCAAGTCCCTAGAGGAGATCTACCTGTTCTCCCTGCCCATTAAGGAGTCCGAGATCATTGACTTTTTCCTGGGAGCATCCCTAAAGGATGAGGTTCTGAAGATCATGCCGTGCAGAAGCAGACTAGGGCAGGCCAGCAGACCAGGTTCAAGGCTTTCGTTGCTATTGGGGACTACAATGGTCACATAGGTCTCGGTGTTAAATGCTCCAAGGAGGTAGCCACTGCCATCCGAGGGGCCATCATCTTGGCCAAGCTTTCCACTGTCCCTGTGCAGAGAGGCTACTGGGGGAGCAAGATTAGCAAGCCCCACACTGTGCCTTCAAAGTGACAGGCCGCTGTGGTTCTGTGCTGGTGCGTCTCACCCCTGTCCCCAGAGGCACTGGCATAGTCTCCGCTCCTGTGCCCAAGAAGCTACTGATGATGGCTGGCATTGATGACTGCTACACATCAGCCAGGGGCTGCACTGCCACCCTGGGCAACTTTGCCAAGGCCACCTTTGATGCCATCTCTAAGACCTACAGCTACCTGACCCCTGACCTCTGGAAAGAGACTGTGTTCACCAAGTCTCCTTATCAGGAATTCACTAACCATCTAGTGAAAACCCACACCAGAGTCTCTGCTCAGAGGACCCAGGCTCCAGCTGTGGCCACCACATAAGGGTTTTTAAACAAGAAAAATAAAAGTGAATCAAGTCTGTTACAAAAAAAAAATACACAATAAATATCCAGATGAAAAAGGCCCCTAAAGGAGATGTACTGTGTTTTTAAAATGTACATATGCTTGGGAGAGAGAACAAAAGAAGTATAGAGAGTTATAAAAGGAAGCAATTTTTAAAAAAAAAAAAAAAGTAAAGTCTTTAAAGAGACAGAGTACAGACAGTCAAAGATTAAAGGAGTAAAGATAATAAAATATATATTAAAAGTAATAAAGTAAAAATAAGCTACATAAAGATGGGAATTTACAGAGAGTCTAGATTATGTATATTATTTTGTTTTCTTTGCATTTTTGACTGTAAAAGAGATAAGTATAGAGAGACATTTCATTGTATGGTTTGCTAAGCTAAGCCAACATATATGTTTTAAAGGTATCTTGAATTCAAAATATGGTTCTAAGGATATATTGCTTTGGAAAAGAGGTTCTTCTCTTGTTTCCACAGAGGATGAGAACCTCTGTGATTGCTTCTAGACTGGTATGGTTTGATTGAACAAGACCCCCCACAAAGGTCTCCTTGAACACCCCCCAAAATTACTATGCCCAACAATCATCAAGAAGCAGTTTGAATAAAACTGTGCTCATATTCCCAAATATTGTCTATAAATATTTGTTTACATTTAAAGGGGGATATGCTATAGAGATGGATACCTTGCATTGGTATGGATCTTGGTTTATTGACATAAAATTTAAGGTCAATTCTCATATAATTGATTAAGGTGTTTGTGCTGCTCACTTAAAAATGCAATGTATAATTAAGAAATATAGGCTACTAGATAATAATCTATAGTAGTCAAGCTTGTGGTCATCTTAGTTAAATTTTCTAGATATATAGAGATATATTTCAGCTAGTTAGGTATTCTTTAAATCTCTCAGAGACTTCAGAATATGGCATTAAAAATGTTTAAGAGCTTACAACTTTTCATGACAATGAGACACGTCTGCTCCTGGCAGCACCAGTTACTTCAAGAGGAAGATGGGCTTCTAAGAGACTCCTTATGGAGTTTGCCAGTCATTGAGCAAGAAACTGCTCTTTGGACTATTTAACTGGGCATGCAGGACTGCTCAAATTGCCTAAATGTGAGACCATTCTTTGGGGTTCCTGCTACACAAAAGAGTCTACTAGACATTCTGTAGGACACAGAAGAAAATGACAGACAAATTGCCAATATATGTAAAACTGTCTTTGAAGTTTCCTGCTTCATGGAAAAGTCTGCTGGATACTATGGGCCTATAGGCTGAAGATGGATGCCCCAATAATACAAAAAAAACTTTAGATGACCATCCAGGCAGTGAGATGTCTCTGTCAATTCTAGAATTTTGAAATTTGCTTACAATGTACTTCCTGTTTACTTAGGTGATATTATATTGTTCTGGAGTCTTTGCTGGAGTTGAAGAATAGATAGTAACAATATAGTTTTCCTTAATTATGATAAAAGATAAAATATATACAACTGCAATTCTTGATTGACAACTGGTATGGGAGAATTATCTGTATTCTGTCAATCATGTTGTAAATAAATGCTGATTGACCAGGCAGGAAGTTTAGGTGGGTCAATCAGACAGGAAGTAGAGGTGGAGCGATGAGAATAGGAGTATTCTGGGAAGAAGGAAGCTCTTTCCCCACTCCTGACCAGACCACCAAAGAAATAGCATGTGACCTGTCCCGCAGAGAAAGGTACCAAGCCATCTGGCTAACATAGATCAGAATAATGGGTTAATATGAGCTACAAGAGCTAATAAGAAGACTGAGCTAATGGGCCAAAAGTTTATAACCTAATGTAGACTCTGTGTGATTTTCTTTGGGGCTTGCTAGCTGTGGGGAACTGGGCAGGGCATAAACTCCAACAAGCCGGCCTTCATGTTACAGATAACTGTTTTGTTGTATGTAATTTTACTATGTTAAAGATAAAGCCTTCTTTTTTTATTTAAACAGAAAAGGGGAGATGATGTGGGAATCCCCTCTATGTGTTGTGATTACCATTAATGAATAAAGAAACTGCTTTGGGCCTATAGAAAGACAGAACTGAGGTAATCAGGGAAAGCTACAGTGAATGCTGGGAGAAACAAGGGCAGAGTTGGAGAGACACCATGGAGCTGCTGCCAGAGTCAGATTGCTGAAACTTTGCTGGTAAGCCACTGTCACATGGCGATACACAGATTAATAGAAATGGGTTGAATTAAGATGTAAGAGTTAGCAATAAGAACTTAGAGCTAATGGGCCAAGCAGTGGTTTAATAAATACAATTTCTCTGTGATTATTTTGGGTCTAAGCTATCTGGAGGCTGGGAATTACAAGCGGCCTCCCTCCTCCTTCATTTTACCACACCCCACAAAATTCTGGTTTCATTGATAAACAGACTACACAGACCCCTTAGTGCTAGGCCTGAATTCAACCTAAAGGATCCCAACACCAGAGAGCTGCATACCTCTTGTCTTCTATGACTTCTTTCAGTGTAAGTGCAAACGTTTCTGCCTTGATTGTCTCTAGCTGAACAGAAACACCAATTTTCTTAACTTCTATTCGGATCATGTTTTCAGGTTGGTCTGCACAAAATGGAATTCCCACGATGGGTACTCCTTGCTGGATGGCCTCCATGATGCTATTCATTCCACCATGGGTGACAAAAAGTCGAATACTAGGATGAGCTGTTGCAAAAGGAAAAAAAGGATTCAATATTTCACTCTGAAGTTTCAGATACCAGGTAAAGCAACAGACCCAAGAAATACCAATGTACTGGACATAATGGATATACTGTTCCTTATATTGAGATTTGCATTGTTCTAGGATATGATATCCAGCCTTCCCTCTACAGAAGGATGCCTTACTTCAGTGCAAAACTGTCAAGTACATAGAACCCAGTGACAGCTATAAAGAGAGGAACAAAACAAGCATGTTTCTCTGTCCTTTTGATCATCCTCATCTTCTCTATTGATGCTTCTTTTTTTAAATTTCTTGCCTCTATCTTCTTTTGCTTTCAACATCTGACTTCTTACTAAGCTTGTATTCTATGTATTATCTCCTCCATTTTAAGAGAAACTAACAAAAGTTGATGATATATTAGACACTTCTGTATTTACCAATCTTATCTGTCACTCCATATTGAAAGCAACCATACATTTCTTATGATCATAAAGAAATGATCCCAAACTATACCTCACACAAAATCTGCCAAAGATCCCAAGAAATAAAGTCCATTCTCTGTTGTATAGCCTGTAATTTTACTGAATGTAGATCTATGTGAAAAATTTCCCAGCTTCTTTTTAATCAAAATTTTAGGTTAAAAAAAATTAGGTAGAAAATTCTGATACAGTCATTGTGTGTGGAAGTGGTGGGTTCTCAAAAAGTCACACAAAAACAAATAATTTGAGGTGATGTGACTTTGGGGAATTCTCTGTTGCACAAAAATCAAATCAGACTCTGAGGTTACTTGAGTTGACAATCAAATAGCTTCCTATATCCTCAGTCCCCCAACATCATTGTAAGCTTCTTGAGTTTTTAAGTCCTTTGGCAACTATCAAAATGTGTCTGCATTCATACATTTATATTCGTATTTTTAAAATGCTGAAAAGTTCTCACATCATTGTGAGAATAGTGGCAACTTCCCTAAGGAGTATCTATAGTTCACATATTGTTCAAGATTGTATTGGAGTGATCAGTGTTAAATATTGTTATGTCAAGGGTACAAATCTATTTAGGACCTTGAGACCTGTCTGAGTTTGGAAGGAAAAGGAAGTTGCTGCTATCACATGTCTAGATCACAGACTGATTGCCCCAAGAACTCTAATTGCTTTTGCTTGCCTGTGTGAGATCTATCTTTACCTGTCAGCAGCCTTTTCTTCTGCCAGCCCAAATATTCAAACATCCATCATCTATTAAGTCCCATAAGCACAAACACAGGAATAAAGTAGCAGGTCTTGGGATGCTTACCCAGAAGGTCATTCTGGGGAACCCAATCCATGATTTTGACATTTGGGGCCAATCTCACATCTTTGGGCCAATGATCTTCCTTAACTGTCCACAGCACCCCTTGAGGGAGGCGAGCAAAGGCACTGTTCATCTCCTTAATAAGTTCCTTCGTCTGATGCAGGGTTACTAAGGAGCCCAGGGCCACAAGAACAAAACCTGAGTCTCCAAACTTAGAGATAAAATCCTCCAAGTCCTAGAAAAATCATAAAGGAAAGAAGGCAAAAGAAATGGTTTGTAAAAGACAAGGTAGCTATGACACAAAATCAGTCCTGAACTTTAATAAACCTTTACTTTTATTTTCTTGTGTTCTATATGATAAAACGCCCTTTATAACCCATGCTCTGCTCTGATTACTGATTGCATTGATTGGCAGCCCTCTCTTCACCATTGGGATATTATGAATTGCTCTCCTAAGCAAATGCACATACAAGATTTGATTTGAGTAACAGATTACTACTTCTAGAAGTATAAGGTCAGGAGTAAACTGATTGTTAAGGGCAATTTTTTTGTTTAATAACTTGAGTCCCCTCCTAAATATTTTAATATGATTTGTATTCTTTTTTAATTCTAGAAATATAATATGCAAAATATCTTGACCTTTTGTGATGTATAATGTCTTCTCTTCTGGTGTTGTTTTCTAGCTTTGGTTATGGGGTAATGATAGATTTATAGAATGGGTTGAGAAGTCTCCTTTCCTGTGGAACCACCACCAATATTTATAGAGGAAGTAGTTTGGAGAGAACTAAACCCAAATTTCCTAAATGATTATTTATAAATGATTGTTTAAAGGGGGATATGCTGTAGACAAATGAATATTTTGCATTGGTATGGATCTTTGTTTATTGATACAAATTTAAGATCAATTTTTAATATATATATGTATATATAGATACATATATATATATATATATTTCTGCTCTTGATTAAGGTATTGTGTTTGTGCAGTTCATTTAAAAATGTAATGTGTAATTATGAAATATAGGTTAATAGAGAGTCATCTATAGTAGTCAAGCTTATAGTCATGTTAGTTGCATTTTCTAGATATATAAAGATATATTTTAGTTAGATAATCTTCAAAACTTTCAAAGACCTATAGAATATGGCATTTAAAATGCTTTAAAAACTTAGGAAATTTCATGACAGTGAGACACATCTGCTCTTAGAAGCACCAATCTACTTCAAGATAATGGATAATGGGCATAGAAGAGGTTTCTTATGGCATTGGTGAGCCATTTGGGCAAGAAACTGCTCTTTCCTGGACTGCTTGATGCTATGCTGTATGAACTGGACATACAGGACCCACAGAGAAATGATTGCTGAACCTGCCTAAAGGCAAGAGCATTCTTCGGGACACAGAATGTCTGCAAGACATTCTGCAGGACACAGAAAAATGTGACTGACAAACTGACAATATAGGCAAAACTGTCTTTGAAATTTCCTGCATCATGGAAAGTGCCATTGGATACTATGGGCCTGTAGGCTGCAGATGGATGCCCCAACGGTACAGAACTTTCAGTGACTGTCCAAGCAGCGAGATATCTCTGTCAATTCTAGAGTTTTGGAAGTTGCTTACAATGCCCTTCCTGTTAACTTAGGTAATATATTGTTCTGGAGTCTTTGATGGAGTTAAAGAATAGATAGTTATAATTATAGTTTTCCTTAATATGATAAAAAATAAAGGTAGATATAAATATTGTAACTATGATCCTTGCTTGATAACTGTTTTTGTTATATGTAATTTTTCTGTGTTAAACTTAAAAACTTCCTTTTTATTTAAACATAAAAAGGGAAACGGTGTGGGAAGTCCTTCTATATATGTGCTGTTTTAGTTGGTTAATAAATAAAGAAGCTACTTTTGGCCAATGACTTAACAGAATATATCCAGGCTAGAAAAGATATAAACAGAGAGTATGCAGGGTCAAGGAGATATCATGAAGCCACCAGAGGAGAGAGATGCAAGCTGCTAGCCAGAACCTTGCCAGTAAGCCATGAGCTTTGTGGTAAAATATAAAATAATGGAAATGGGTTAATACTAGATGTAAGAGCAAGCTAGCAATACACATAAGTGATTGGACAAGCAGTAATTTGAATAATATAGTGTCTGAGTGATTATTTCAGGGATGAGCAGACGAGAACAGACAAGTGCCCCCAACATTAATTCTTAAGTGTTTCATTTAATTCACCAGTTAACCCATGTTAAGTTAGATTTCCTTAAAGAGAGATTTTATTATTGTTTCAGTCTAATTAAATGCCAAAAGTTTAAGATTTTTATTTGTTCTTGAGTCAGTTGTGTTAGCAGACATGCATACACAACTTTCCATTCATGTAGGATAACTATTTTGATGATAAACCATGTTTGTTTAATTTCCTTATGATCTTTCTTGTTTTAAGTAATATTAGGTAATTTTTTCACTTCATAACTTAATTATTTTATTACTCGTTTTTATTTATTTTCTCAGTTACTCTACTGGTTTGTCAGCGTACTACTCTTTTGTTTGCATTGATTCTAAATCTTTTTCTAGTCATCGTTTCAGTTACCTACACTATGATTCTTTTAATACCCTCTTTCTGTTAGCAGCCTGCTTAGTTTTCTCTTCACCATCTGTGCCTAATACTGGCACAGATAGGTTAGGTTATCAATTTCAAATACCTTGTCTATACTAATGATGAAAATAACGGCTACAAATTTCACCTAAGTCTGGTTTCATTGTCCTCCCTTATCCCCCTCTGTTTTGTCTCATTTCCTTGATATGTAATATTTGCAAATGTTCCTCTTCATTTTTCCCTTAGCCTCACTGCTTATTTTATAGTGTTTTGTCTATTTTTATATACTGTTGATTTCTATCTCATCCCACTGTGACAAAAGTTATTTGTGTTAATTTAAGATTTTGAAAGTTACTGGGGTTCTTTTGTCTGTGTGCTGTCTAACACACAAAGCAAGGCAAGGAATTTGCTTTGTGCATTAGAGAATATGTGCCCTGCTCTTGTTGGACGGAACACTTGGGTCTTGTGAGGTGGTTCAGCAGCTAAGAGAACTAGCTGTCCTTCCAGAGGACAACAGTTAAATTTCCACATAACAGGTCACAATCGTCTGCAACTTTGGCTCCCAGGAATCCAATACCCTTTTCTGATGTCCTCTGAGCCCAGGTACACACATACACATTCAAAGCAAATACTCAAGCACAGAAAATAACTTAAAAATAAATTCAAAAGGGTTACTGATTTTATTGAGTTGATCTTCCCAAGGTCCAATTGAAGACCAGAAGGAGGGAGAAGATGAGCAAGGAAGTCTGGACCACAAGGGCTTGGTCCACCCACTGAGGCAGTGTGCCTGTTCTAATGGGAGCTCACCAAATCCAGCTGGACCGGGACTGAATGAGCATGTCATCAAACCGGACTCTGATTGTGGCTGATAATAGGGGATGACTGAGAAGCCATTGATAAAGAACTTTCATCTGGCGATGGATGGAGATAGAGACAGAGACCCAAATTGGAGCACTGGACTGAGCTCCCAAGGCCCAGATGAAGAGCAGGAGGGAGAACATGAGCAAGGAAGTCAGGACCGCAGGGGTGTGCCCACCCATGGAGAAGGTGGGGCTGATCTAATGGGAGCTCACCAAGGCCAGCTGGAATGGGACTGAGCGAGCATGTGATCAAATCGGACTCTCTGTAATGTGGCTGACAATGAGGGCAGACTCAGAAACCAATGATAATGACACCGGATTTTGATTCTACTGCATGTACTGGCTTTTTGGGAGCTTAGTCTGTTTGGATGCATACCTTCCTAGACCTGGATGGAGGGGGGGCCTTGGACTTACCACAGGGCAGGGCACCCTGACTTCTCTTAGTACTGGAGAGTGAGGGGGAGAGGGAGTGGAGAGAGTGGAAGGGAAATGGGAGGATGGGAGAAGGTGGAAATTTTTAGTTAATAAATAAATAAATTCAAAATATACTCTATATATTTGTAATAGTTTCTGCTAATATATGGTGCTATTCAAGATGATAATTTGTATGGATATTCTTTTCATTCTAAAACTGTAGAATTGAAGTCTAAGTTAATATTTATTTCTTCTTTAAATTCCTTAATTTTCTTCACCATTTTATTTCATGTTTTTTGCACATATGACCCGTTTTACTGTAAATTAACTGTTTCAATTATTTTAAATAATATTTTTAAACTTGTGAAGTTTGGCAAACACAAAATTTTAAATAGTTATATATTGTTATTAACCTACAGTGAATGTTTTGATATTGTCTGTTTTCCTCATGTTAACAACCACCATAGTCTATTTTGCTTCTCCATGATTTTTTATGAAATGTGGTAAAACACCATACAGAGTAGATTTCAGACTCTTTAGTAAGGATTTACTTCAAAACATTTGTTCTCACTCTTTACTTTAACCATACTCTATTTCATCTCTGTGTGCCAATATCTGAACTTCCTGTATAGAAGGTGAAGTCTCTGCAAATCATATCTAAATTTATGAATATAAATTAATCTTCTACTACTTCAGGATTCAATCAGGGAACCCAGATGATGACTGTCTTACTTCCAAATCTATATACAGTACACCCATCCCCACAAATTTGGGTTTTCAGAAAATTCTATCCAAAATGCATATCAGAAACCTCCTTCCAAGAAGAATATATATGTATCACTCACAGATCACTTCCCAAACATTCTTCTCACCCACCTCAAGGACATGTAGGCAGTTTGGTACCAAAGAGAGCTAGAGGAATTCTATATCTCTGCTTTGAGTTGAAAGCAGGAGAGACATCACCTTCATCACCTCAACATCTAGGACAACACTGTACGAAACCAAAGGTGATTATTCCTCCCAGCATGGGACAGGGAATCCCACAGTAACAGATAACAAGCAATCAAATATTCTTAGCTCTCTGCACTTTTAGGTTTTCAGTGGTAGTGATTCTGAGCCTGCATTGAACATGCAAACTACATGACAGCTTTGATGGTTTATGGTAGCTTGATGCAGTACAAAAGGCTGAACAGTCTCAACAGAACAACAGAATCAGTTCCTCCTGTCACTGCTACAGTCCACATACATGCCTTCTGAAAGTGTTTTCTGTTTCATTATGAAGAACCTGTCTCCTTAACAAATACTAAATGTATGGACTTTCACTGTATTTATTTTATATATAGCTCAAAATTAATATGGAAATATCAAGACTAGCTACCGGAGTTATTCCAGCAAACCCAGGCCTACAGAGATACAAAAAAAAAAATGCAAACTTTGTACCAAGATCCTCAAACTTAGCATGTGGTATTTTAACACTCTACATTGGCAACCCTTAAAATGTACTCTCAGAGTGTCTGTCTTGCCTTAGAGTACATCCTTTTAGGACATCTCTACCAAGAAACAATTCTGACCTACGGTGATTTGAAAGAAAATATTCCCCAAAGGTAGTGGCACTATTAGAAGGTATGACCTTATTGGAATAAGTATTACCTTGTTGGAGGAAGTGTGCCACTATGGGAGTGAGCATTGACATCTCCTATGCCCAAGCTATGCCCAGTGTCACAGTTCACTTCCTGTTGCCTGTGGATCAAGATGCAGAACTCTCAGTTCCTTCTCCAGTTACATGCCTGCCTACATGCTACCATGTTTCCTGTCATGAGTATAATGGACTAAATCTTTGAAAGTATAAGTCACCCAAATTAAATGTTCTCGTTCTTTCTTAGAATTTCTGTGGTCATGGTGTCTCCTTACAGCCCCAACGTAGACACCTCCTAAGAATGGCAAGCTTCTGAGTGATAGATAAACTGAGGGCAAAAGTTTCACTCACTTGAGGTATTGGCCTGGCAGGTTTGTCCATTAAGCCTCCCACATAGACTGTGTTGGGAAACAGGGGACGAGCAAACTCAAGGGCAAAATCACAGTTGACAAAAGAAAGCTCTGCTTTCAGTAGAAGGTCAGACAAAACAGGCCGAGAGTCTTCAGCAAAATGTTCCTGGATGGTAGCATCATATTGAGAAAATATTTTTCTTTGCTTCATGGAGAAATCAAAGAACATCAGGAAGTTCTTTACTCGGCCCCAGAAGTCCATTTGGTCAGTTAGTCTTGAACCATACACTGGAACATAAGACAAGGGGCTTGGTAGCACAACGTTTATATAGCTAAATTGTAGGGGAAGAAACGTGACAAATTTTTTCTCAAGTTTTTCAGCAATCAGGTAAGAGCATAAATCTAAATAATCAAAAAATAGTAGATCAAAATTCTCATTCCTTAAGGAGTCCATGATGTCCTCTCTGCCTAGGAAGTGACTGCACAAGTCCCCAAAGTATCTATGTATCTTTACAATCACATGATGTGTGTTCCTGTAAAAGAAGAAGAAGACATAATTTCAGAAGCTGTTTTATACATTTTGGAAGACTGTTATACTCCATGAACGTATTCCATAACTAGACAAACACAAGTCTATAATCCAACACTCTGGAAATGGAGACAGGAGGATCAGAAGTCCAAGACCAGACTTAGACTTGAGACTTTTGAGGTCAGAACACTAGACTAAATAAAAGCATGACTCACTTAGAAAAAATAATTTTTAGTTTGTTTTATGGGAAGAGGTCATATATCCTGAATTTTTTTCCTTCTGTATAAAGATATACAAATCATTATGCTACAGTGTTACTTATTATTTAAAGCATGTTTTTTCTTAAAATAAAGTAAGTTTTTAAATTAAAAACAAAACAGACCCATAGAAATTCATTTTCCATTCCTGCATGGAGATATTTATTTACTTCTTATACTTCTTAATCACTTTCCCACCTGAATTGCAGATGTTGAACAAAACATTCAGCTTTACTTTCCGGTGTAGATATTTATTCTCATACTGTTCATATTCCATCACATTTTTTCTAAGGATCTAATTTCCATTCATCATCAATGCAAGTTTGATTTCTTCCATCTTGAAAGCTGTCACTGATTATAGTCGATCTCAGACTGTATCAATCTCCTTGAGTAGCTGTATAATACTGTCTACCTCACATTATTTAGTGAGTTTTGGGGTGACAATATTATTCCCCTTCCAATCTGTGTAAATGGCGTGGTTACAGCTTTTATAACCGTCAATGGTAAAGCCAACTCTTCTAAACATGTTTATCTTGGCTTAAATGTTTTGCCCCAGAAAGGAACTTTCCAATGATAATACTGGAACTAGGCTGATCATGTTTCGGCTTTCTGCCTAAGAACCTAGGCAATTAAAAATGAAATAGAATATAAAACCTTCTGCCTTTTTCTTTTTTATGTGAAATCTAAACTTAAGTGTCTATGTGTCT